GTTTAATTAAATAAAAGCTTATTTTTAATTATTTTACAATTTATATACAGTATGTACATTGATTCTTTCGCTAAATTACATCAATTATAATAAATTAAATAAAATACATTAATTACCTCTCTTACGCAAATAACGCAAATAGTAGGTAACAATATCTCTAAAGTTACGCCAACCAAAATTCGTCAATATGTTTATTCGGCACTTGGCTGTCGCGTTTTTTCGATAATAAAAATCCTTTAATTAAAAGAACCGCAAATAAATAATTGGATGAAATGAACAAATTTAGACAAGTGATGGAAAAAGAAACTAGTGATGAATTAAATGACCGACCAGCTTTTACAATTACTCCAATTACTCGTGAAGTAATTAATATTTATTGTTTTCGTTTAAAAACACTAAAAAGTTGGAGGTGGAAATTTGTGGATTTCCTTGCATCGGGTGTGTTCGATGGTGAACAGAAAGTATTTACGAGGGCTTAAGTTATTGCAAGACAAAAAAGAAGAAATAGTGGTAATGTTATTATTAAAAAACCATGAAAAGCTTAACTATAGGAAATAATTGAATTTGAATGGTTTTCTTTTTTTTTGCGAATTATAATATTATCGACAAATTTATTTATTTACTACTTGTATTATTATAAATATCATGATAAATAATTATTTTTATTGTAAAATCTCTTCACGTGACGTGCATAAAAAAAATATGACTACGAATGAGAATGTCGATCTCGCGATCTGAGATAGTAAGCCTGCTGAAATTTTTATTGAAAACTGGAAAATTCGAACTGGAATAATAAAATTTATAGAAAAAGTAAGCGAATCAGTTTTACGAAAAAGAATTTATTAAAAAGTTTGTATAATTGAACTCTTTAGCAAATGGGCAAGTCCTTGCTGTATTTTGTGAAGTAGAAGCATATGATATGCTGTTATAAATTATAAATAAAAATGATGTCATTTGTGTCATTTGATGTCATTTCAAGGTTATTTTCCAATATGGTCAAACCAGCATTATAAGCTACAAAATTTAAGCAAATTTAAGGTTATATTTACAAAAAGACTCGCATTTCTGAGCAAATATGAGGAAAAATCAAAAGTTTTTTAAATGTACGATTGCTTCGGTTAAATAATTTAAACTTTATTTTTCCGGAGTTTTGCGGCCATTTAGTTTCCTCTTTATGAGTTCAAAAATTCTTTTTTTTGCATTTTATTTAACTCTTCACGTACGATAACTTCGGGTTACAGTGAACGATCAATTATAATTCTTTTTGATAAATTGTGTCTTTTTGATTCTTTAGGTTCTTCTTTCATTTTATAGATTGCTTTATATATTTTTCCTATTTTTATAGTTGGATCGTTTAAATAATTTACCTAGTTGTTCTTAAGAATGGATTTCAGATTGTCCGAAATAAATGTATTGATATTCATTAAGCTAAAACTAGTGAACAATACGCATTTTAAAAATTGCATGCGTTACTTTGACTGCGCCAAAATTGATGTACAATTTGTCATTTTTGACATCATGGATAAATTAAACTATATCACAGTCGCGTCCGAAAGTGACGCCCGATTTAAAATTAATGCCAAAAATGGCAAAACTTTATTGATTTTCATTAAAATTCACATAAAAATAATTACTAAACCTTGTACATCGTTGCAATCCTTTTATTATTAATATATAAACAAATCATATTTAATTACGTCCCTTACGAAAATAAATGGTAACACATACATGTCCAATAATTAACACAACCACTAGAAGAAATCGATAGACTTCGTTATCTACTAAATCATAGTAAGTTGGTTATCAAATGATTTAAAATTTTGAATCTATTTCTTTATGGATCGTCGGGTAAAACGACACATAATAACTAAGTTTCGTATTAATTTCATTGGCAATGTGTTCGGTGATTATCAAGAATAACTGGAATTGTTACATTACATAGTAAGCAGTATTATATATTTCTTTTCCTCGTTGAAAATAAGCATCCTTCGGGACATATATAATTTAAATCCATGTGATTCAATAGCTTTCCTCTTCAAATATTTCTTACGTCAAATAGCTTGCCTAACAAATCTGATGACATGAAAGCGCGATTAAAATGTAACAAATCGTCAGAGTTTTAAATTAGTTGTCAAGTGAGAAATCTTATGAACTATACAGATAATAGGTTTTAATTGTCAAGCATTTTGCATGATAATATTTAATTGATTAACTTGTAATGCATGTTGTAGAACAGATGAGAACAGAGATTTTGAACTTGATTTAGGTAAATTTGAGTGTCATTACAACTTCTAGTTCATTATCAAAGCTTTCAATAACAATCCATTTAGATTTTGCATCTGTTCGACCATATATCTCAATATCTCTTTGTTCAAGTGAATTTATAACATGTCGAATTCAGATCATAACAAACATTGATATATATATGTGGTATGTAAATTGTGTAACATTTCTAACCAATTATTACATCAAACAAATGAATGTTCGTTGACTTCTCGCGAAAATTAGTATAAACTTTAAAAAGCGAACGGTTCAGCCAGTTTAAGAAGTTTAAGAAGATCTCGTTATGAAAAACTATTTTCTAACCATCCATCGTCTGCCGTACCAAACTTGTAAGTACTCTGCGACAAAGTTCATATTTCTCATCAACTGATATAATAATAAAATAAACAATTAATTAATGATTCAAGTCTTGTACAATATCAAGAAACAAGATGATAAACACGACAGAGGAATCGTTGTATAAACCTGCCACTTCAGGAGTTTTAAAAGTATAACATGTCAAATAAAGCAAATAATCATATGAATTCAACATTATTAATTATTTTGAATAGAATATACGCTGACACTACCAAATATTCCAACTAGAAATTTCTTGAATACGATACACAAAACGCTTTGACCTAAGCGTATATATAGAATGTTTTTGCTGAAGCGAAAACATATGAATTTTCAAATCATGTTTGCAGCAAATCGGGCATGAATTAATTCTACCTCCGAACAAATTTATTCGATAATGTCGAGGTATTGTTTTAGCGATTACTTCAATTGTTGCTATTTTTTTTAAAGATTTATGTGTTGAAGTTTGGAAAGAAAGTCATTGTGTAATGATCTTTTTTGTATTGTCGAAGTACGATATTGGAATTAGAATTGATTCAAAAAGATGAAATCGATTAATCGCAATTAATTGTTTCTCGAGTATCAGTTCTAAGATTCAGTTTCCTTAATTACAACGTTTTGATTTTCTGATCATAATCTGAACGCGAAAAATCACCAAAAATATTTATTTATTAAAATAAAGATTTGCCAAGAAATATTGATTATCAATGAAAAATTTGCATTTTCATAAATTTGACATTTTGTGAAAATAGATATATAATTCTTCATCCTTCCTTTATTGGTGTAACAACTAAACATATTTTATGCGTTTTTCAGGTTCGAACGTTCGGAAAAAATGTGTATTTTAATTTCATTTCTGATGGCACAAATTGACATAATTATTTTATTGTAACAATAAACTTCAAGATTTAGCATTAATTCCCAAATAATATTTCTATATAAAGATCTTTTTCAAAATTCATTATGGCCTAGTGTTCATTAATTTTAATTTTATTAATTATAAACGAATTTTATGACTCTTATTTAAGCAAATAAATTTGCAAACAGTATTTTTTAATTTTTTCGAAATACTGTAACTTTATAAAATGCCTCGTCAACTCCCATTTAACTAGTATTTAACGAAGCTGTTGTAAACTTAGATATTCAGAAATACTGCGAACAAAAAGGAAAATTTACAAGATGAATTCTGGATACTTTCGTGACATATAGTCCGATTAAGTGTTTTCATGCATTAAAGTAAGCGATGGGATTTGTGGGAATATTTTTTTTTGTAAAATAAAAAGTAATTATATCTTATCAAAGGTAATTAATGTTGTAAAGTATTCTTCTTTGTCTTGAAATCATCATCCGTCAAAGTCGTGGGTTCTGTAATAAGAGTTGAATTTTGTGCAATTTATTTCTATCATTTGTGAATTTCCTTTTGATAATTGATATTAAAGACTTATTCTGTACAAAATCTTTGAAGTTCTAAAAGTTAGTAGATTGAAAACTTGCTAGGGGAATAAGGTTAAAATTTGCTCCATCCATTAGGTTTTATAAGAAATCAACTAATTCTTGAAGAAATCGATTATCAGCAGCTATCAAGACTTTAAGAATGTCTGAAACGTCTAGCTCATTAAATAAGAATGCCACCATAATATCTATATTACGAAAAGGGAGGATCAGATTTAAATATTCAAATTATCTTATACAAGTGTATGATTCATGTATAACACTTACTTTAAAATAATTTGAAAGATTTCTGGTAAAATGTTTGACAATTTCAAATTGAGTCAAGATATTCTATTCTTATTACCTTTTTTATTTGAAGCCAAAGCTCGACGCAACGATAGCTCAAAATATTCACGAGCACGGAATTTTTTACTTCCAAAGTTGCATCATCCAATTAATCAAAAATTTATTTGGAGGTGGGAATTCTTTACAAGGCAGCAAACCTTTTTTATCGTTTAACTGTAACAGATGTAGAAGATAATGATTAAATCTGATCTATAAAAGTTTAATAAAATTATGCATGAATAAAGTTCTGGCCGGAATTATCAATCTCAAATATCATGTGATTTTGATCGTTTAACGGAAAAATTTATAGATTTTTCAATGCATAAGAGGTTATTATTAGATGTTATCTTTTTATCAAATTTCGAAAAATACTATGGTTTTTACAAAATAGAAGCTGTCTGCATCCAGCATGTTATTATTAAGCTTTATGTGTTGTACACATGTATATTCAAAAGCAAATGTGTGATTTTGTAGAACAAGAATTGTTGTGATTTAACGAAAGCAATATTAAAGATCCGCATTTTTTAAAAATTTGCAGAATAATTGACTAATTAACTAATAAATGATATTAATAAAATACTCCTATTCTTCGGTCTAGCCATGAACTAAATATTTATAAAATATAAATCCATATGTCCAAAAGCATTAGCATTATACCTTAAAGATATAACAACATCTTTCCAGAACTTCATAATCTTCATTTTCGCTGCATTAACCATCTCCTTCCATACTAAACCTCCCATTTTAACATCCACGCTATCGTTCCAGAATCCTCGGATAGCCTGTGCTTTTGATTCAAAAGTTCCATCAGGAATAATTGGCAATTTTGTTTGATTATGCAAAACGTACATTGTACGTATAAAGGAATGCAGGTCATCCGATTCCTTAGGTTGGTAAGGTCTCATATCGTTATTCAAAATTTCTGGTGACGCAAATGTAATAGTTCCTTCATAGGGAACCAGTTTGTTAGATGGATTGCTGATTGCTGATCCCCAGTCAGCAAGTACAAGAGTATTGTCACTAGCATCCAATAAGATGTTTGATGGGCGTACATCCCGGTGGAAAATTTTCATAGTATGAACACATCTCAAAAGTCAAAGAAGTTGTAGGGTATGAAATGCCCGGAATTGACCGCTAATTTTTTCACAAACTGGACGAATAATCAAAGAATAATTATCATTTGCAACGTATTTTGGAATGTATTTGATATTTTTCCCATTCAAGAGTCGCCGAATGGTAGCTTCATGAGACGGATCATGACCACTTTTAAATAATTTTATGGCTGATATATTATCTTCCCAGTCTATCTTGTATACTGTTGATGAGGAGCCCACACCTAAAAACTCCTTTATTTGAAATTTTTTAAGCCTTTTATCCGACGTATAGAAATCGATACTACTGGGTCCAGACTTCTTTGTAAAAGGTGAGCTTGCATTTAGTAACACCCAAAAAAGACGTAAACCTGTCTTTAAATTAGTTGTAAACTCGCTACACCTTTTAGTATTCCTATCAAAAGCCATTACATAAAATTGAAAACCATCTGATAGAAATACTGCAAATAGTTCTCGCAAGGGCTGATGCTCGACGAGGACGTTAATGTAATCTATCAGTTGCCCTTTGTCTTCATCGGTAAAACCTGACAAATTCTTTTTTTTTTTTAACCTCTAGAAGTGTTATTACAAATATTGGGATATGGACGTCACTAATGACATCCTCCTCAACAAAGACACTAATATCTGGCTTAAGTCCATTTAGGTACGGATTAGTATGTGTATCTTTAACAACGAAACCCTTTCGCCATTTTGGTAACTCGTTCATCAATCGATTAAACCAGGGAGGAGGAAAACCGGTACGGTACGGTTCGGCTGATCAGTACGGTACGATCATGCAGATCGGTACGATCCTCCAAATTTTGATCGTACCGTACTGGTTCTATAATATTATTGAGACCGGTACGATTAAAATTTGGAAAAGTACCGTACCGTACCGGTTTTCTATATACACCGATTTTCTATATACATCCTATGTTAATGATATTAATAATGATTGATGTCGCATTCGTCAAAGCGTTCTTGAATAAAAAAAAAAATTACTTTAATAAAAATTAAATAAATCGAGGGAGAAAATCTGAACGAATCGTCTGATCAGTACCAATAATACGATTATAATTTGAAAATTCGTACTGATCTGCAAAATCGTACCGTACTATATATACTCTTACGAGTCTTGTCGACCCGGTTATTAACCCGTCGTAAATTACTACAAAAAAAATTAACTTCTTTTTTGTTATGCTACGCTATTTTAAATATAAGTAAACTATGAGTGAAGCAAGTGACGTTAACTATGGAAATGATACAGTTCGGAAAAGATAATCTTTGCATAGTTAACTTTTCAAAAAAGTGCTTTTAAGAAAATGATCTTCCGTTGATACAAAAACTCATCGAGAAGTTAAAGTTTTATGCTGTTCCCCTGATTAGTGGTTGGCAGGTAAACAATTATATTATAATTATACATTAATAATATTTTATTTTATTAAAACAGCGAATACTCCAGTGTAACGATATTTTTCTACTGGAGCTGATTTAGTTTCAGCCAAAAGATGTATTAAATCAAATACAATGCATGCATGTAGTATGAAATCCGAGTGGAACATAAGTTTTTAGAATTGAAATAGGAACCTACAATAATTAAAGAAATTACAATAAACAATACGCATAATACGGTAGAATATTCATCTTATCGAAATTCGTTTCTCGGCATTATTCTTATTCCAAGTTAAACTATTATAAATGCTGACCCGAATAATTTTACTTTGTCCTTTGCACACACAGGTTGGGTTCGTATTTCTCTGAAACCTAACCCGACCCGTCCACCTCGAAGCACTAATAACAGGACTATAATAAAGTGACTCCAAACCGAACACTAGTGCTCTATGCAAAATGGAAATAAAAAATACATTATATATAAGGTTAAGCAAATGAAAGTTCATTATCAATATAATGTACTTTATAGAGGAAATTAAATTGTTGTTCATAATATGGAAAAATTAAAAATGAGTTAATGCTAAATATTTCAGCCTAAAAATCATATTTGGCATATAAAAGTAAAATTAAATTTTCCCGGCAGTTTCCCACCTTCTATTGCAAAGGCTCCATATTAGTAAACTCAAAAAATTATTTATATATTATTTTTTAATTTGTTATTTATTTTGAATTACAATCATTTTTCTTTTGTAATTAATCTTTTTATTTATAAAATAAATCAAAAATAAACAGTCCATTTCAATACACATTGTATCACATGTCCAAGTATGAAACTGTTTCATCTTAATTTTAATATTATGGGTACAGAATTTGCTGTTTTGATTTGTAATACAATAATAAATATAAATTTGTTTAATTAATTAATACAGAATTTCGGTCTCTGTCTACATTGAGCAATTTTCCTATGGTCGTTAAATCCTTTCATAAATCTTTTTCGCTCATTGACCCTGTATGTAGAAAAAAAACATATGGTACAAAGGGTACGAAAGTGGTATCGTTGACCTCGCCAGCCTCAATATTGATCTATCTACCGACGGTTCATGCATACAGCGACGAACCTAATAAAGTGAATACTTTTTTCGATTATTGTATTATGATATTGATACCCATTTTGCTTGTGGATATCAGTCAACAAAAAGAATACAATGGGAATATTGCTGTAGTCGAGCAGGTTCTTACTGGTTTCTTCGCTTTGACGCTACTAATATACATGTCCGTAAAAGCACAAAATCCTTTAATAGATGGCGTACCAGTAATCACAACAATAGTTGCGGCCGTTGTTTGGTTATTTGCAATCGTTTACATAATACGACGTAAACGAAAACATTACAAAAGATACTACAAGATGTTGCCTCATACATTTCCAGGTAGCTTCGAAGTTAGTGCCTTCAAAGTCACACTTGTATCGTTTATTCTGGTTTACATTCTAGGCGTAGTCACCTGCTTTTTCATCATAGCACGTTTCTGGTGGCTTCATTTTGATGGATTTATTAATGATCGGAAAATACCAGTCCTAATGTCCTTGGCATATGTCGTTCCGGTTTACATGCACTATATTAGCAAAGACTCGTTTATTTCTATATGGGCTGTAGCTTTAAGCCAGCTACCCATACTTTACGCAGCTGAGGATTTGATTTTACGATGCTACTATGCTTGTCTTATTTCCTATGTATTAAGATGGCTCACTTGGAATAATCGACTTAGTACAACGGATTATGGACCCGATGGATGTCTTCTTAGGAGCATTTTATAAACTTTTTATAGTTTAATATTTTATCAGCTGTTGGTCATGTCACTATATATATACATATATATGTATATTATAAAATAAAATTTATATTCATTCTTATCGTTATATACCAATAATAATTAAAAATTGGCCGAGCCAATGAATATACTAATGAATTATTTTTTGTTAAAATAAAATCTTACTATAAAAAAAATTACAAATCGGTTATTAATTTTTAGCATAATATGCTTCTGGGAAATAAGAAATTTTTCGTAGCGAATAATTCATTACTTTTGTAAGACTTTTGAGTAGATTAAAAGTTGTCGAATTTTAAATAAGTGTTGGCCTGACATATATAGTTTACACCGGCCGATAATATAAACGCAAGATTTTTTTTAAGGCATTTTAATTCTATATTTTAAATGCTCGTTAAATAGGAGATGATCGCTATGAATAAAAAATATATTTTTTATCCTTTTTTTTTCATGAAAGCTATAGAAAATTAGTTCTGGAAATAATTTAATTTTAAAATAAAATGAAATTAAATCTTAACTCAAGCTGTAATCTATTATCATTCCATATCTCGTATCGTTGTCCACTCTTAATTTTATATTTATCTTCATTTGGAGTTTACATTTAAAATTTTGATGACAAAAGTAAACATTTGTGTAAATTTTATTTGAACATAAAAATACAAAAATATTAAATTTATTTTTTTAAAAAAAAAGTATTTCAACACTCTGTTCACTACAATAAAGTTTATATGAAGATTAATTTTCTTTAAATCTTATTATTTACAAAAGTTTTTAATGTTTTTTGCTCACAAATGTACATTGGAGTTTAAATACCGTAAATAGTGCTCCTAGCCGGTCGAGTCGACCCAGGTTGACTCGAATTTTTTCTCGAGTCTGATATCATTTTTATGACACGAGTCCTAATTCGATAAAACTTGTCAAGTCACGTAACGTAAATTAGCCTAGCGCGTAATTTATAGTGAAAAATTAGATCACTGATCATCTGGATCACCCGGATTACCCGGTCAAGGAAAAACGTGACCCTGACTTGAATTTGTAACAAATAAATAATGAACCCATAGACGTTAATGATATATACGTTACCGATAGTTCTAGAAAACGAAAGGCATTGCGGAGTGAACTTTTTGTTAAAGAATTATTTGAAGAGAATATTCTTCCACCTGGACATAAACTTTCAAGAACTTATCGTGAAGATCAATGTCGTAATTACTCATATGTATTCTTTAAAAAGTTTATTTAAAAATGTTTTAGAAGTCATAAAACATGGCTTCGCAAAATTGGTGATCCAAATACAACAATCTTTGGCGTCACTTAGAACGTTATCACCCCAATAAGCATCCAAAAAAAGTAAAGCACTTAATAAATTAAGGACAAAGCACATTAGATGAATTTGTAAATGTAGAGGGAACTTCAACTGATGTATGTATTGTAATAAACTTTTTTTTTTTTTTTTTTTATATTTATCTTTATTAATTTATATTTGATACTCTTTAAGTTACACAAGAAGGCTTTTGTGAATTTATTACCAAATGGACAATTACTGATGATAATGCTGAGTTTTCAAAAAATGATAAAATTCTTAAATTCAAATGCATTAATTCCTTCAACAGATACATTAAAAAAAAATTTAATGGAAATTTTTGAAATGGAGCAAATAAAAATGAAGAAATTTTTTCAAGTGAGTTTTAAACATATGTAAGATATACAGTATAAAAATATTCTTTTAAAACAATATTTTATTCTTTTTAGCATTACAATACAAAAGATTGGAAACTTCAAGATAATTTACTTGACTTTATAAATCTTTTGATCCCCATTTTGGTGAAAATTTTTGTGATGTTTTATATGAAGTTTTAATGAATTTGAAATTTTATCAAAGGTAAAAATATTTTTTTTTTTTTTTAAAAAAATGTTTTCGGTATATTAAATATTAATTATTTTTATATATATATTTAATTTTAATTTATATTAATAAACAAATTTTCTTTTTTAGATTTTTACAATCAAAAGTGATAATGTTGGAAATAATAATTCTTTTATGAAGGATTTGAAAACCATTTGTCAAGATAATAATATTTCTTTTAATGCTATAAATGCATTGCATTATTATATTATAAATATATCTGTACAAGAAATTTTAAATAAGGTTATTAAAGTAGGTGAAATACAAATTAAAGATGATATAGGAAACTCTAAAAAAATTAAAATTTTATTTTCTAAGCTAATTATGATTTTTTTAGTAAAATAAGTTTAGATTTAACATTAACTCAAAAAAATTTTTTTTAGAATTTCTTTCCTTTTTACTGCAAAGTTTCTATATATTAAATAATATAGATATAAATTTAAATACTGAAGAAATAATTTCAAAAGTATATATATATTTTTTATAAATTATTATTTAATTTATTATACAGAGGTTTATCAAAAGTTTCTGAATGCTATTTTTTAAATATGATTGATATATATAAAAGATAATTTTACATATATTTATATTTATTTATTTATTTATTTTGCTTTAAATAACATTTTAACTTCAATTAACTGTATCTCACTAGCCAAAATCTTTTGAGCTGATTTTTGTGAATTTATAAATGATTCTGAGAGTAATCGTTTCTAAAGAAACAAATAATTATTTCCAAAGAAACAATAAAAATTGTCTTTAAAAGAATGAATAATCATTTTCAAGAGATGATAGAATTTGTTCCCAAAGGAATGATAGAAATCATCTCTAAAGGAATGAACATTCATTTCTAAAGAGACAACAGAAATTATCTCCAAAGGAATGATTCAATTATCATTCCAAAAAAACAATGATTTTTTTATTGTTCTTAAAGAATAATGCATTATCATTCTGAAAAAATGATGTTTTTTCAACATTCTATTGGAATGATATATAAGAACAATGATTTTTTTATCGTTCTTAAAGAATTATTCATTATTATTTCGAAAGAACAATAATTTCTTTTATCATTCTGAAAGAATAATATTTTTTCATCATTCTATTAGAATGATACATCATCATTCTGAAAGAATGATGATTTTTTTTATTGTTCTTTTAGAACGATTCATTATCGTTCTAAAAGAACAATAATTTTTTATTATGTAACAATTAAATTATAATCTTAAAGAATGATTTATCATCATTCTAAAAAGAATGATTTTTTTATCATTTTTTGTAACAATTCATCATCATTCCAAAAGAATGATAAATTTTTTTATCATTCTATAAGAATGAATTTTTTATCGTTCTTTTGGAATTATTCATCATCGTTCTGAAAAGAACAATATATTTTTTTATCATTCTTTTAGAATGATACATCATCGATCTAAAAGAACAATTTTTTTTATCATTCTTTCTGAATAATACATAATCATTTCTTTAAAGCGATATTTTACATTATTCTTAAGAAATGATCAAATTATCATTTTTTTGGAACAATTAAATTATCCTTTCTTTAAAACAATTATTATTATTTGTAAGAAATGATCAAATTATCATTAATTTTGCAATTGGATGATGCAAAATTATTCATTTGAAATATTTATGACAAATAGTATAAATAATATCTAAATTTCAAATTAACTGAAATTTTGGTTTAGTTTACAATGTAAAACTGATAAACTTTCAGAATATTCTGAAAAAATTTATTTATTTATTTTTTTTTTTTCTTAGTGATGCAGGCGATTTATAGGCGGAAATTTAATAATTTCCATTTTTTTTTCTTTTTTTTACGAAATTCTTATTTGGGAATTAAGATAAACTAATCAGAAGTGATTTTTGTGACATTTTCCTTTTTTTTTCTTGATTTTTTTTTAGGAAATACTTATTTTAAAAATTAAGATAAGCAAATCAGAACTAACTTTTAGATAGTTTTTAACCTTTTTTCTTTGTTTTTCTTTGATTTTTTTAGGAAAATTCTCTTTTTAAAGTTAAGATAAGCCTTTTAGAGGATACTTTGAATAGTTTTTAACCTATTTTTCTTAATTTTTTTTTACTTTCTTTAAAAATGAATTAAGGTAAGCCTTTCAAAGATAGTAATAACTGTTTTCTTTATTTTTTTTTAGGAATACATTAAGGTAAGCTTTCAAAAATGGTAGTTTAGTAGTTTTTTAACTGTTTTTTTTATTTGTTTTTTTTTACTTTTTTTTTAGAAATACATTAAGGTTACCTTTTCAGAGGTAGTTTTAGTGAATTTTCTAACTGATTTCTTTATTTTTCTTATCTTTAAAAAATCAAATATTTTTTTTTGAATAAAATATAATGTAATATTTATTCTTTTTGAGTAATTTATTATGTAATAATAAAATAAAATTATAAATATTAAAAATATTAAATAAACAAAAAATAAGTTTTATTAGTTTCGATTTTATAAATAATTGCTTAATTGAATTTTCTGATTGTTGACTGATTTTAAGCTAATTTATGCTGAATTTTGACTGATTTTTAACATAAATACTAATTGGTAGCTGATTTTCTATTTATTTAAAATGCTGATTTTTTGGTAATAATCGGTAGAATTAGACTATATTTTGGCTAACTTTCAGCATTTTAAATGTGACGAATTGTATTATTTTGCCAAATAATATATCAAATAATACTAATGTTAATATTAAATATTTATTTGTGTGGCATTTAAATTAGGCAACATCAGCTATAACTAAAAATGCTAATTATTTTAGCAATAATTAGTAAAAATTAAACTATATTTTAGTTAACATTTGGTACTTTAAAAAAGTGACAAAATGGATTATTTCAACTAATATAAAGTAGAAGTGTAAAAAACACTTTTTCTTCTCATTGGATTTTTTACAAGAATTTTTACTTTAAAAAGTGTTCATTTCACGGTTTAGCCTGCGAATAAAACAAAAAACCCCACCTTTCAAAAATATTCCTCTCTTTGTTTCTTACACCCCTCTTCACATAAAAATTTCGAAATAGTCTAAACAGTGTTATTTTTTGTTAAAATATTTTTTCTTCACCTCTTTTCG